CCCCCCCCCCGTCACCGCTGGACCCCGCTGCCAGTCCCAGCACAGCCAGGCTGCTCAGTGTGGGACGCCGGGCTTGCAGTCACCCCCCCAAAGCACACAGGTGAGGGGTCGGGGTGCACCCTGCAAGCCCCAGGGGCTTTTTCTCTGCTCCGTAGCTGCAGGCTGAGATGCCCCCGCTGCCCCCCCCGAGCATCCTTCTCCTGCCTCCCTGCTGCTGGTCCCCGCACCGCCCCGGGGGGGCTGGCAGCGCGCTGAGGGATCGCTTTACTGGGCTGCACCCGTGCCCCGGAGCACCCGTGCCCTGGCTAAGGGGGCTCTCCTGAAGCCTCCCAGCTCCGTGCACCTTCCCAAAGCCCCGCTTTCCCCATCCCGTGGTGAAGATTAAATCATCAAATGACAGCAAACAGCGAGTCAAGCGCTGTCGCTCTGCCCTTCCTTGAAAGAGTTTGTACGAACTTCAACGTCCGGGCCGGGCCAGGCAAATCCCATTTTACATTTTTCCTCAACAGGTTATTGAAAATACAGAGTTTGGCGAGCAGCAGAATGGACGCTGTAGGAAACACTCGAGGTAGGAGTCCTGCAGGCAGGACCCAGCCCTTGCTAAGCTCTCCCCGCAGCACAGACCCAGCCCCGCGCATCCCGAAGCTGCCCGGCAGCACGGCCGTGTGCCGGCCCGGCTGGCGGCGGTTCGGCAGCGCCTGCTCCATGCAGAAGTGTCACCCCAACACTACACAGAAATCCCAAACGGAAAAGACGTAACTCCCCCCGCAGCAGCCCCCGGGTGTAACCCCGGGGTGCTCCTCGGCACCTTACAGCAGCATCCTGGACAGACCCCGGGAGCGGCTTCAGAGCTGAAGATACGGAAATTAAAAATATTCACCACTGACGGAATACTAATTCTGCAGCAACAGGTTTGAGAGTTACAGTAACGTTCATGCTCTGAGCATCAGCTGTGGTCTGCAGAGGATGGCGAGAGTCTTCTGAAACGTGAGCTGGAGTTACGAGAACCCTCACCAGAAAGGAGCCCACGCGCGCGGCTGCCCTGGGCTTCGGCTGATGCAGAACCTCTCATAAACCCGCTCGTCAATCTGGCACAATTTGCAGTTTTTCTGGGTTTTGTTTTGTGTCCTCCAGCCCAGGCCAGTGCCCAGAGCACGGACTCACACCCCCAGCACGCCCAGGTCACCGCCTTCAATTTAATAACGGGGCGAGGACACCCGGCCGGCGGGACATCAGCTGTAGCTTCTAGCAGCCTTTTTTCCTCAATGAATCATTAAAAGAAGAAAATAATTTCCAAAGGTAGAGTTTGATCTTTATAAAAGGTCTATAAACCAGAATTTCCTTTATAGGATTCCTCGTGATTCATAAAATTCCACCCCCATTTTCCCCCATAGGCATGGAGTAATGTGTATTTACATTAGAACTGGTAGCGGTTCAGAAAATATACATATGGGGTGGTTGGTTTGGTTGGTTTTTTTTTTGCAAACCAACTGAACTGGTGTGTAATAAGAGAGAGAAACCAGCCAGCGACTCGAAGGATGCTCACGCTTGGGGCTCACCCTGCTGCGGACCCAACAGTTGAGCGAGAGTCGCCCTCCAGCCACCGACGGGCAGCTCCTGCCTGCCCCTACCGCTGCCCCTCCGCCTTACAAACAGCTGCTGGAATTGTCTCTCCCGATTACAGAGTTTTTTCAATGACGTGGAAGGTCCTGGATTACTGATTAAAACCCCCAGGAATTTTGGCTGAAATCAGGTAAATCAAGATGCCTCTAAAATTTATGGGTTGTGAGCCTTTAAGATAATAGCAGAGGGTGTAAAGTAGAAAAGTTACCGTTATAAATAGCCCTCAGTACAGCCCTTTCGTAGCGGGCGTATTTTCAGTTGGTAAATTGTAAACCGAGAATATAAATGTGTTTTGTTTTGGTAGAATATTAATATCCTTTACAGAGCTGTTAAATTTTGACAGTGTCTGTGAAAAAACAGGAGAAAGATTTATGAGAGTGCTGACAGAGTGTATCAAAACTGCAAACTGTTCCAGATGTTAAAAAAAAAAAGAAAAAAAAAATAAAAATCCCACCTTTCACTTAGAAAAAGATTTGCTCTGATTTACAAGGACTGGCATGGAATTCGTTTGGAGTCTTAATGCCTGAGTGTAGGAAAGGCCGTATGGCGAGGCGCGGGCTTGCGGGAGGCGAGGGAGGAAGACGGCTTCGGTGAGCCAGGCTGACGGTATATACAATGCATTTAAAAATATATGTCTATAAGCAGACTTTTCCACACTGATCAAATGTATCCATGTCCTGAACAAAAGGCTCCTCTAAGACAAGCTCACAGTCATCGCAAGCTTCAGCACAACGGTTTAAGATATCAACCATGCTTAGCATTCAACAGAAACGGTTTGTGAGTAGCTAGGGTCACTGGAATCTCAGCATCCGATTTCAAAAAATTACAAAGACTGTAGCAATTTGGTATATTTCTGTTCAAAAACTCTATTAGTCACCACCAACTATAGTTCCTAGAAGTATTACTGACTGTTAACTCGAACCCCAAACATCTCCAGCTAGGGAAACCAAGCTAGCGAGTGGCACAGACATAGAAAGGCCTCCTAAAACAAGCGGTCGGCGTGTTTCGCATGAGGGTGTGTATGTCTGCACTGCTAACCCCGGAAGACTAGTGTCGGTATGTACAAGGCGATCTGGAGTTTCGGACTGCGAGGAGAGGGCGGGCGGCGGCTGCGCCGCGACTACACGTTAATGACAAACTCGGGGTTAGTGTAGGAGAATCCAGCAAACTCGTTCTGGTCCAAGTTCATGATGAAGAGTTTGTCCGTGGGCGTGAGCTCCACCGGCTGCCGGGTGAACTCTTTGTCGAAGTTGGAAGTGTCGCGTTTGTCCTTCTGTTGAACGGAAAGCACAGAGTTAAACGGGGCGGGGGGCAGGGGGAGCGCGGGCGGGCGAGCAAGCGAGCGGTGGCAGCACCCAAGGGCGCACGGCCGGGAGAGCCGGGCTGTCCCCGGGGACCTGTCCTATCCCCAAGAGAGCCAGGCTGTCCCCAGGCTTCACGCCCATCCCTCCAGATCTCCACACAGTTTCCAAAGCCGCTGCCACTGAGGAACACGCACCCCAACAGGCAGCAGCAGCCCCTGTGCAACAGAAGCAACCCCACACCAAGGCAAGAACGGAAAAACACCGGTTTAGCGCCTTAAAACACACAACCAGACAGCGAAGGGACACGATGAGAGCACGGGGTGTCGGGGAGGGCTGCGGCGCTCCCGTCCCTCCTCTCCTGGCCGCTGTAAGAGAGAACAACAGAGCGGTTTCTCAGCATGCAAAACCGTCACTGCAAACGGAGAGTTGCAACACAGAGGAGGAAGGAGCCTGGAGGAAGCAACATCCCTCGAAACGGGAGCAAGCATTCAATACCATTTCAAAATTTGCACCAAATAATCAGCTGGAAAAGCGCCTTTTGCTTTAAGCTTGATTTTTTTTTACGAACTGACGCAGTGTGAATTGATTCGAGGATTTGATTTGCTCCAGGGTTGTACGTAGAAAATACACAGGAAGTTCAAAACCTCAGAGAATGAAAACTCCACACGCGCGACCGTTTATCACGCTCATTTCACCAGAAGAACGCCTTTGCAGCTACATCCAACCCAAAAGAGAAAAAAACAAAGTTAGTTGTGACTAGCGGTGGTAACCTGCTCGTGTACGTCTGTGCTGCGGGAGCCAGGCCCCCCGGCAGCACCGCGCTCCCCACCGCTCCTCCGCCGCCTCCAGGCCAGGGCTCGGTGTGACCCGCCCCTCTCCTGACACAGGTGGGACCCCGTCACAAATTCAGTGTCTTGCAAAAACCTGCAAAATGGTCTTTTCCC